ATTCGTGACATCGTTGTTGCTGTTGTTGTCGTTCCTTCCCCTTCATCAATGCACTTTTAACGCTGTTGTAATTCAGTTGATTGCCTTTGCTTAATATTGTTGTTGTTGTTGTTGTTGTTGTTATTCGGTGCTGCTGCTGCCACTGTTGAGTAAATCACAATAAAGCTATTAAGAACGGAAACGGAAGCATTCGCCGCTGCGCACGCATTGAGGCATAGCCGTCCCCATCGCCTGTCAATCTGCCACGCCTCCTCCCTCCAACTGCGTTGGCTCACCCACTCTGCTGCTCCGCTATGCCATCATTCAACCCGCTTCTCTGTTTATTGCATTATGGCGTCAGCTGCCGCCAACTTCTGCATTATTCATTCCGGCTGCCATATTTTCTAGATTCTGATCCAGAGGAACGGTCAGAGTGCATTGAACGTACGTTTTTCCCTAATTCTCAAAAATATTTTTGCCCAGCACAACTCACAATAAGTCTCTCCCTCCCTCTCCCTCTCCCTCTCTTCCTCTCGTTCTCCTCTCAGTTGCCCCAGCCAATTGTTGTTAGCTAATAATTTTTTTTAATCTGCCATGCATAATGCATTTCTATGATTGTTCGCTCATATGCGCCGACATGGTCATTGTCTGCATCTGCACTGAAGACAGTGGGACAAGTGCTTAAGTTTTGCAAATCATAAATGGGGAAAGCAGCGCAATTCAAATGCTTTCATTAAAGTTACGATCATAAAACTTGCAACAAATGAAAGAGCACATTTTTGGCTGAATAGAGACTAGAAGAGAATTCTGAAATGGTCTCCTTATTATCATCATCAGCCTTTTATGTAAATTGTAGTAGTGCTAGATGAAGAAAGAAATAAAGAACATTCTCGGGTAATCCGTTTTAATAGTAGCCTCTATTAATAATGTTTTATTTTATTTAATTTACCATGTAATTAAACTTTATAATCCATTTAAATAAAGCACCTTATAAATGTTTTGAAAACAATTTTAAATGAACATTAAGAATATTATATATGTATGTACTGTTATTAACTTGGTGGGAAATTATTAATGCAGCTGTATGTGTTTGCTCACAGTCATACTCAATATTACAAAAATTAAAGTTTGCTTTAAAAAATAATAGAAAATTATTATTAATATAAATTTTTATTAATTTATAACGGAACTCGTTTACTTAACCATCTGACCTTTTTCTGGCTATCTGTTTTCCAAAATTCGAAGGTGTACACGATTTAATATTTCATTTACTGTATTCCACATGGAACGCAGAAAAATGTTATTATTTATTCTGAGTATTCCATTGAATTAGTCACAGCTAAAAACGATTTTAATTAAATGATATATCTTTATGGACGACTTCTTTATAGACATTCATGGAGTCATTTCTCTAGCCATTAAATGAACTCTGTTCGCTGGCTGTCAACTCTTTGTGTAGGCAAATGAAATATGATAAGTAAAAAGTGAGCCGTAGCACATTTTTCTGTCTACCTTCACATACGTAACCAGTGTGGAAGCTCTTTTATTTTATTTTTTTAATTTTTGGTTGTTGGAAGACAAGAAACAAAACAAAATGCTAAAGCTTATGGCTAGAGAGTGCCGCAATGACTGGCCTGACTGGTCGGGATTCGAGTTGGGCCCCAGCTCGGCAGCGGGTCACCGATCTGGGCATGTCTGGAACTCGACTTGGACGACTGGACGAGCGGACAAGTGGACCTGTGGACCGTGGTCAGACAGACAGTCAGGGCTTAGAGGCGTTTGGCATTGTCATTGTTTTTGTGTGGCATTAACGAGCGCAAATGCAATTGCATGAATTACTCTAGACTGGTTTTCGTTACTGCCGCTGCCAGCAGCCGGTGCATTCACCTTGCCCGAAAAAGCAACCCCCAAAGAAACAGCTGAAGCACCTGACTTCATGTCTGTTCGTTCTTCATGGCCCAGCAGCAGTTGGCTAAAAGGCAAGCGGCGGCGGCAGCAGCAGCTGCTCTGGCCAAATGAATAAACGCCGCTACCTGTGTGTGTGTGGATCGTGTTGTGGATGCCATTCAGTTGGGCTAAAGCACTTCTTGGCTGCAGCTCTTGCTCGCACAGTTCCGCGCCGGCTGTTTAGCTTCCCATAATTGTAACAACTTTGTTTTTGGCGTGTAAACAAGAACGCATATCATCCTCCTTCCCTCTCTCGCTCTCTCTCTCTCTCTCTCTCTCTCTCTCTCTCTCTCTCACACACGCTTACTCCTTCCCGCTCGCTCACTGATTAGGCCATGCAAATGTGAGGCAATAAACTCAGCCAAGTTATGACTGCAAATCACGTCAGATGAGCCAAAAAAAAAAAAACCCGACACGTGGCGACCTACAATGCATGCGCCGCCCTAACTGTAGTTAGTTTTAGTCCAAAATAATATTTCCATAGTAATTACGCTTTGACATGAAACAACAAACAGTTCAGCAACAACAACAACAATTCGACCAAAAAGCAATTTGCTTTTGTTCATCAAGCAGAAGTCGGCTCAAAAGAAATGCCAAATATTTGGGGTAACTTGTCAGTTGGCGATAACATGGCCAAGACTCTTTCCCCTACCTCTTTCCCTCACCCCTATCAAACTCCACTAAACGACGCTGATTATGCGACAACAACAAGAAAAATTGAACAAAATTATGAATAAATAAATATTGTAAATGGGAAATCGTGACTGGCTGTCATTGTAGGGCGCAGGCACTAAACCAAATCTAAATCCCCCATACACACACACATACTGAATACATACATACACGCATGTGCTGTGAGTCAAGGATAAGGGAAAGGAAGGGCGCGGGGTCGGCAGAATTGACATGCAAATTGCATCTGCTTCCCGATTCAATATGCGCTTGTTTGATCAATTTTTATGACAAATTATCGAAATGAATTCGTGCTGGGGGAGTTTGAGGCCTTTGCGCTAGTTCCCTAAAAATAAATGTTCAAATAAATTGTCCAACTGATTGAACTACTCTTGGCTCTATAGCTCTGTCTGCGCTGAGTATGCCAATTCCTGATCAACAAACAATGCATTGCATAGCTAACTAATGAACCTCGCTTGCCAATCGGACACTCCCGGCCAATTCAATGCTTCCCTTCGACACTCCGCACTCCACTTCATCATCCTCTTGCCACCAGGCAGCCGCGGACTGTGCAACAAAAAGTGCAAGTGGCAACGATGGAACGGAGAAAACGGGCAATGCGAGAGCAAAAACGACAGGCAGATATTTCAGCCGACTACTCGATACCCTTTCAAGTTAAAATTCTTAGGCACAACTATTTATGTTCCATACATACATATGTGATTTACTTTTATACATATCGATAGTGATTCGTATGTGAGTCAAGCAGATGATGATATGATTACATAAAATCAAACAAGAATAGTGTTCACACGTTACCATGTTAAAATATTCTTTAAAATTATAAATAGAAATAAATATTTTAGTGTCTTTTCACATATTTCTCTGCTCATATTAAATACGTCTCTAATAATTTAATGTCTAGAGCAACTCGTTTGACTACTATGACAGGGTATGCACAATCAGAGATTTTACGCTCTGCTATACGGTCCACATACATAGCATATGTAAGGTATGTATGTGTGTACATGTAGATGTATTGGTGATCATGTGGAGTGTTAGAGAGCAGAGGCGAGAGTCGACGAGCACTCCAAGTATCCAACATTTCAGCCAAGTGAATGAAATTTCAAGTGTAGTTGTTGTTGTTGAAATTGTTGTGTAGCTGTTGTTGTTGTTGTTGGTGGTGGTGGGAACGAAGGCGACCGCAGGCAATTGGCCTGTCTAGCGACACTTGGTGTCTCTAGGTGGGCTTCAGTTGCTGAATCCAGTTCGTTGGAATTCCTAGTCGGAGAGCTGTTGTCTGTCTGGTCTAGTATGGGCTGGCTTGAGGTTAGGTTTAGTTAGTGTTGCATAATCTGGCAACTGTGTCAAGTTGCGTCGTTTTCTAAACATGGCAAATGATTTGCGAGCATTTCTTTGCGACAACTTTTACTTGTGACTGGGCTGAGCAGCAGCTGAGCTGCAGCAGGCAAATCTGGGAGCCAAGTTTGAGGCGCACGTGATTTATTGTCAGTGCTCTCATTGCTTCTAGTTCTAGTTTTTTTTTTTTTTTTTTTTTTTTTTTTTTTTTTTTTTAGATATTCCCTTTGAGCAGGGTACCAGCACTCGCTTTCATGTTTTCAAGTACTCAAGTACCACAGCAAGTTGTCCAATTGTACCCGTTTATGCTGTAGCCAAGTTGTGTGCGGCTCTCTTAGCAAGACACAATCCATAAGAGAGCGATGTGCTGCTGCTGCTGCTCTCTTAGCATCCACAATGCATGCGCTCTTCGCGCTGCGAACTGCGAAACCAAAACAAATGTGATGAAAGGGCGAGCAACGAGTACGACGATGGCTGGATCCCGGTGCCGAAGCATTTACCGCTACGCCGCGCTACATGCACGAAAGAGCGCACGAATGCGAGAGCGCAACGATTGCGAAGCCAACGCAGCCAACCAAACCGGCCAGTCTTTGATTGCTACGAGCATAACAGAGCAACAACAGCGCTGTTAACGAACTAACAGCATGTGTGAATATCAACGCGCGCGCGAACGACCAAGCCGACATACGAACTAGACAACAACAACAGCAACAACAATTGAGAGAGCCGATGTAGTCGTTGCCGAGGCGCAGTTAAGTTCAGACCGCGACCGTTTTTGGTTCGGGCCATTCAGTCTAATGTCAGAAACGCAGTTAGCTGCCTCGTCGTGCGCTCGCTTATAAAAAAAAAAAAACAATCTAAAAGCACAGCTAATACAACTATCACTACAACAACAACAACAACAATAGCTAAAACAACAACAACCATCGTCGACAGTTAAAACTTGAGGCATTATAAATCAAAGTATATATACACACACACACACTCCAACACAAACACAGTTAAAGTTTTGCCTATCGCATTTCTAAAGCTAAACAACAACAATTTCAAATAAATCATAACAATAATACAACAACAACAACAACAACAACAATAACAACAACGACATCATCGACAACAATTTCAACTAAAATAATTCGCAAAGCGGAAACCGTTTCCAATTAGTTTGTGTAATAAGTGCAATAAGATATTTTTGCTGGATTTGTATCTCAACGTTTTAATTGCAGGCAAACGAACAAAGCAAAATGTAATTGTTTATAAAAAATGGCCAGCAACAACAATTAAGGTGTGCATTTGGCTACGCAGCAACAACAACAGCAACAATCGAGTATAAAATTACCGATCGCTAACATGTGAACAAAAGTGCTTTCTGTGCTAGCTACCTCATTGTATCTCTGTATCTTTCGAATACAACAAATGAGTCACAAAGCAAAAATTGGCTTAATAAACAGAAAAACTAGGCAAAATAACTTAAAAAAAAAAAAAACAAAACTATACAAACACACACAGAAAAAGCGGAGCTCAAGACCTAGAAATTGGGTTAAATGGAAAGCATTTTTCAAAATAATATCAGCTCGTAAAACGGGCCATAAATTAATTGCAAACTCCGCACAAAATACAAATAAAATAAATATTTATTTATGCTAATGCCCATAAGCGAAAGGGCAAAAAAGAAAGAACAGATACATATGCGGAAAGTCTAGAAGCCATAGAAGGTGTTGTATCTCTAGTTGGCTCTACTTCTTCTACTTGGAATTCCCTGAAAAGTGCTAAAAGTTTATTTCTGAATCGAACTCAAAACGTTTCGATCTCAAATAGAAATGTTGTTGTAGATAGATCTACTTGTGTATCTTAGAATATCCAAAAATCAGAATAGAAAATTATTTTTCAAATGCACATTTCCATTTTATCTTATTTGCAAAAATATGTTTGGAATGCCACGAGCCAATTTCACTCTCTCTCTCTAATGAATTACGAAAATAAGGAATTTTTACGTAAATCTACAAAAATTTCTTTCTTTCTTCAATTATTTTTGCAAATTATGCATGAGTTTTTTTCATAAAATACGAATTGAAAGGTTTCCTAGCAATATTTTTCTATATGGCTTTATTTGTTGGAATTTATTATAATAATTTCAAATATATTTAAAATAATCCAAAATAATTCGAAAATCTAAAATAAAGCCAAATTTATTTTCAAATGACCCAAAAAAATGAAAATTCAATGCAAATTCAAGATATTTAAGATCTGGAGCTCAAATTTCTATGGATACATTGATATGCACTGAAATTTCAATTCCCTGGCTTTGCTAAATAGTTCAGCTGTAGTTATTTATTCGTCGAGTTTTCGCACAAATTTCTAAGAGTTTGGACGCTCCATTACAAGTCAATTCGATTAAATTTATACAAATAAAAATAAAATAACGACGAGACAGAAAATCTGTAAATTCCAGCACGTAGCCAGAGCTCGGTGCAGTGCCGCAGTTGTGCAGTGAGGCGGCAGCACCACCGAACGAACCATCGAACAAACCGCCAATCTGTTAAGTTATGCCACAAATCTTACACGTGAACCGCAAGAATTTCGCCATTAAAGGCCGCTGCAGCTGCAGTCTCTGCCTATAAATTGAAATTTCAGCCCAGTTAAGTTTCGGGGCTAAAATAGCGTAGTAGCGTAGTACAAGAACAAGAGCAAGGAGAAGAAAATGCAGCAGCAGCGATTGCAGTTGCCAAAGTATCGCGTGAATAAGTGAAAAAGTCTCGTGTTATTTCCACACAAGAGCAAGTAAATAAAATGCGAATAGTTTTTCCATTTGTTCTTTTTTATATTACTCGCCTGCAAACATTTAATTGCAAGCCGAATTGCGTGCCAAAAGGGAATCGGGCCCATAAATTGGCCAACACAACTGGCTAACTGGCTGCAGCAGTTGGCTCCAGCTCCACAATTTTTGCTGTTCATTAAAACTGCTCGCAATTAGCCACAAATTGAATTATGGATGCGCCCGCAAAACTATTTCGTTTTCATTATGCTCACTCGTCGAACTTTTCGGCTGAGTTGGAGAGACATCTCCACAGCGGTCAATGCACGACTTAAGATACCCTATGCAGAGAACCCAAGAAAAATATGAGGATTACCAAAAATATCTATATACTCTGGTAGCTCTAGCTATATTTAGTTACGCTCGAGCAAGTAAGAACTGAAGTCGATGCGCGACTGGGAAATACCCTATGCGGAGAACTCAAAAAAGTAGAGTACTAAATATATCTATGTAAATATTTGTATATAGGTTTGATAACTCTAACTATTAAACTTGTTGGCTTGCACTCAAGCAACGAATCGAAGTCGTTTTTAATCGAAAAAAGATATCGATACCTTATCGCCCTGATCAACAATATATATATAATTAAAGTGCTTCAATCAGAGCTGCTCCTGCCTGTTACGTACTCACCAAGCAATCGAGTATACCCTGTGCCCAAACACTTTCCAGGGGCATTCAAAACTTTTTGTGTGACACAAGAATTAAAGTCGAGATCAAGCCCAAGTCTCTAGCCGCAATTGTTGTTGCTGTTCGTACGCTTTTTGTATGGCTTTATTTATTTTAGCCAAGTTCAACCGCCAGTTGCCGGCTAGTTGTTAGCCATCTCCATCTCCGTCCACGACGCCAATGCCAACTTCTTTTTCCGACTTCAACTCAATTTCCATTCTCCATTCTCCGTTCTCCGTTCTCCATTTCCATTTGGCCGTTCTCTTTGTTTTGTCTTCTGTTTTAGCTTTTATTTTATGCTATTGCCAATGCGTTCGGGCTCTTGGCCAGTCTCTGGCTTTGCTCTGCTTCCTCTTACTTTTACCTTACTCTACGATTATTTCCGCTGAAGCGTTGCGCACTGCCGACTGCCACTTACTTTGAACTTTTTGCTGCTGCTGCTGCTGCTGACCCTTTGCCCCATACCCCCATCCCCCTCTCTCTTCACTGCCAGCCCCTGGCCGCAAAGGTCGGCCGGCCAGTCAGCCAGCTGTTTGCTCGCCCCTTAATTTTTTTTATTATTTTTCTCTTTTATTTTGTTCTGTTTTGTAGTTTTTTTGGGGCGTGTGAAAGTCGTTGGCCACATGAAGTTGCAGTTGGCTTAAAGCTCAGTTGGCTTTGCTCTGGGATACGAGGGTTTCCCACACCCGCTGGCATATTGTATCAATTGCGCCCTTCTAACTGGGGAACCGGTTCTGCGGGCCAGCATAAATCGGCGCCAGCTCCAACTGGTTTATTTGTTTATATGACCAAGTTGGGTGTCGCACTTACCATGTATAAAGACGCTTGTCTGCACTAAGTCTAGCGACGTTTCGGCGCCCACATAATCATATTTATATTGATGGCACCACCCAAAGTGTGGTGTGCGTCTGTGTGGGTGTCTGCGTGTTTGTGATAATATCTGATTAAAAGCAAAC